CCCTCCCTCTCTCTCTCTCGCGCGCGCACGCGCGTGCATGCGTTCACTCCTTCACAGCGAAGGTGGGGAACGCAGCGAACGCTGGACGCGCACTGCACGACTGTGCCGCGCGTGAATGCCACGCCCGCTTTATACCGGCCGACGACGAAATTTATTTATTTATTTATTTATTTTATTTTTTTTACCCGACGACCCTCCCAACTGGACCCCACGGGCCCACATGCTCCCCTGACGGCACAGTGCCCTCGCAGGCACCTCCCGGGTCCTCCCCAGCCCTCATAGCACCTTCAGCCCCCCCTGCGCAAACGCGTCAAACACGTTCAGGGGCGTTCACTGAACGCGCGTTCACCACGTTCATAAACTGAACGCGAAATGCGCTTTCAAGGAACGCGCGGTAACACAAATCGAAGCAGACAAATTTTGTTGGCCCGGTGAGTGATCCCCAACGCCCGAACGTCGCCATTGGGGCGGCGTGTTACCGCTGCGCTAACGGACGACCAAACGCATCCCCAAGGGATCCTGTACGTTCGGGCGTTCGGCCCGTCCCGAATGCCGACCATATGACGAACCAGCTTTCGGACCTGCGCCATCTTTCGGACCCCTTCTCTCCCCCGTATTTTCTCTGCATCTAGATGTGTCTTGTTCGACCCCCGAGAACCCCCTCTCCCCCTCCCTCTCTTTTGTTCGATTAAAGGTACCTCGTTGAAATCTGTCAATTCTTTTTAAATTGAAAATGCATGGGAATTTCGTGCGCGTTAGCAAGCGCGCTCGAAATTTGGCTCGCCAGTTAGGAATTCCAGAATTAACGGAACGCGGCGCGACCTTTCACGCGCGAATGTTCTCGGCCTCGACCTAGAAAACTCTGGGAATTCTTGTAGGAATATGGATGGACGAAGGACTTTCTTTCTTTCCCTCGCCTACTTTGCGCGCGGATATGGTACTTTCAATTTTTGAATTAACATAGGGTTGGGGAAAACTGCAACTGTTTCGGTGCCTATTCTCCTTTTTGTTGTTCAGCGCCATGCAAACAAGCTCCCTCCTCCTTCCTCCCTGTGCCCCTCTCAACGCCTTCCTTCGCGCGCACATGCTTTCTCGCTTCCTTCCCCTGTAACTGCTTTTCCCTCTCCTTCTCAGCGCGCGCCCTTTTCTGTTTCTTAATCATCTGAATCTTGAACCCGTTTCGCGCTAGTCTTCTCACTCCTCTTCTTTCCGCTCTACGACCCGGGCTCGAAAAACCCGGTCGATCCTCTCTCCCCATCTAGCCAAGGAGAAGCGTCGTGTAAGTTCTTACTGCGCGACGATTCTGATTGGCCGAGATCGAGTTGAGAGGGATCAAGATGACTTTTGACGGGCGATTACTCTCAAGCCCTCCCTTACCCTCCTCTACCTCACTCTTTGTCTTTCCCCGCATCTCTTTCTCTTCTCGCAACTATAAATTCCGCCGGCGCATCTGCAAAACTCTCTCTCAACTCGTCAGCCAACTTTCGGGAAGCAGTGGCTATATGATGTGTGTATAGTGCGAGTCGGACAGTCCTGACGAGCCTACTGTAGACTGGCTGGCTGTGTGCTAGATCGCCATGACGGACTGTGGGATCCGGGCAAGCCACGTCGAGGCTAGGGTGGCAGGGTGACAATCGCAGTAATGGATGGTGACACGCAACGGCCGGGATCGTCGGTGCACGAATGAAGACGAGTGATCCGAGTTGAGTGAATGATTGGCCCAGGGCCATGGTGGAATTTGACGGCGAGTACGCCCGGATCCATTCTTTGGTGTGAGCTCACGGCGGTAAAGCCGGACCTTCTTTTGCATTTCTAGATCTCAGTGTAACCTCTCCCTCCTGGCTTGATATTCTCGCCTGTCTCTCTCTCCCTCCTCCTCTCTCGCTGATATGAATAACCATGTATGGAGAGTCGATCTTTGGCTTGTGATGTAATGAGCACTTGTGAATGTATGCTCGGAAGAACTTCTTCCGGAACTCTTCCATTAGTTTCCTGGGTAATCCCCGGACCTGCTGAGATTTGATTGCCTTATCTTGTGAACGGCGGATGCACGTGTAACAACCATCAAAAGGGATTGTGATTACTCGCTTTTGACACAACAGGGCAGGGGCATTGCATGGCTGCCGCCTTTCACACCTTCCACAGTTAATGTATGCATATGGGCACGCGTCTTGATTAGGACACTATCCGACGGATCGATGACAGAGGCAATGCTGTTGGGATTTTGTTCGAGGATGCAAGAGTGTTTAGATCTGTTGATGCTGTGATTCGGGACACACTGCACATGCCATCTGCCTTATACTGCGCAACATATGCAGCATACCCTCGTAGAATAATGAGGGACTTCAAAGCCACGTGCGATCGGTACACGTGAACAATGGCCGCACCTCACCATACACGAGTCTTTGTCTCTCCCTCTCTCTCTCTCTGAAATTTCCTTTCCTTCTTTGTTTTTTTTGGAATTTTGACGCTGTCCTTCTGGTTGATCGATAAGTTGTGTATTTCTCGACTCTGGATTTACGATGAATGATTGAGGATATTTTTGGCGCCTGATTGATTGCCATGTGGACTGACGGGCTCAACCCGACTAGGCGCCAGCCTCCCGTATCCCCACCTCGCCCCTTCCCGTATAACGAGGAAAGGACGCGTGTGTGTGAGTGGGACGTACGAGAAGCCGTCGCAAAGATCGGTGGGCGATATTACTTCCCTCCTGAAAATCGGTGTTCTGGGTTTGTCATTATCGATACACATTTTCCGCCATACTCGTTACTATTACCATTTAACGAGTAGATCGTCATCCCGTGGTCGGCAGTGGCGTCCCATTGGCCTAACACTCTGTGTAGTGATTGCCAACGCTTCGATCACTTCCAATCAAAGGGCTTCCATTACCGAGTACGGAATGAGGACGAGCATAAGGAAAGGGCCACGCGATTAAGGCCATCCACGTCAGATTTGGAATTGTGCAGCGTGCGGCGTCGGGAGCTAGTCCGAAAGCGGGATACTAAGTACGTGCCCGCTCCCTTTCACTCCAAACGAAGAGCCGTGGCTCGGTGGGAGGTCCAAAAGTATTTTCTGGATTGAATTCAAACTTCCGCGCGTCACAAATCCCGCGCGTGGGCTTCTTTGAAACCCTCGTTGCAACCGACCAGTTCTCTTACTTCATCAGACCAAAACGGGGGATTGCAGTTCTGCCTGTGTCCCCACACTCAATTTCCCAAAAATCCTTGGCACACCCCATCTTGCTGTTTTTCGGGGCCTTCTTTCTGCACCCTTAACACTCCGAATGAAAGACAGCGCAGGGCGTGAGGTTAGCGCGTCACAGCCACCTGTATATATATATATATATATATATATATATATATATATATATATATATATATATATCGTCACAAACAGAACTGCCCGGTAAAATCGTAGGCAGAGAGAGAGAAGAGGACAACAAACGAGGGGCTGTGACAATATATATATACATCGTATTTACTTGTTTTTTTACCATAAAAGAAACCTAGAAAACAGGGTTGCGAGGTAGGCCTCTTCAGCCGCGGCCGATTTGCCCGCGGGTGTCACACAGGACCACTGAAAACAAATCACGAGATATCCTTTTTTTCTTTTTTGAAGGCTCTTTAAGCCCAACCAATTCAATTACCTGTAGAATCTGGACAGGACAGCCTTTCAGGCCTTTTTTATTGTCATTATAGTATTTATTGTCATTATAGTATTACGGGGAACCCGTAGCAGCCACATCCGTGCTCAAGCCTCCAACGAGGGAACATGCGGGAGCTGCACCCACCAGCAGGTGCAATACCTGCTACAGCAGGTGGGCTATACCAGCCAGGGGTCAGACGGTAGCATCAGGACCGAGCTTCTTTTATTGGCCAGCCACTGTGCCTCCCCTCCGGTCCCCTCCCCCTGTCAGCATCAGCAGTCTCTGCTCAATGCCACTCGGGGGGACCAACGACATATCTCTAGGTGGCGGGCGCCAAGCTTGCCCAGGAAGGTACATGAGGTCAATGGGGATTGAACCCAAGACCTCCTGAATGCCACTTGCGTGCCTTACCAACAACTGAGCTAGGCTACTGGGCGAGATATCCTTCTCGAACGTCCGTCCTAGAGAATATAGACTTTCCGAGGAGTGTCGAGCCAGACCCAGACTGAACAGGGTACAACGGGTCCGAGACTAAAAATTCTTTGCTCTTAGGCCCGTTTTTCCTTCTCTACTCGTTCACTTCCCCGCCTCTTTTTCGTGTTCTTTCTTCCTTCCCTCTGTGTGTGTGTGTGTGTGTGTTGTTACGTTCGCTATGAAACAGTTTTCACCTTTGGCAGTAGCTGATGCAGATCCCAGGGGTCGATCCCTTGACCTCAGCTTAC